ATATAGTATCATCACACCCGAAGTCTCCCGGGGCTAGACCTTTATGTTTGTAGCAGCTTCACTGCCCCATGCTCTCCATCTCACATTAGGGAAAGCAGCCCAGACTACATGGCTCTGTTCCTCCATCTTTCTAATTTCATGAGTCCACTTTTATTAGCATTTTCCCATATGACATGCCTTTTTGTTTTATTTCTTTTTATTTTTATTATTCATCTATTTATTTTATATCCAAGCTCCAGCCTCTCCCCATGCTCATCTCCAAGCCCCCCAATCCAAAACCACTCCCAGTCCCCTCCTATTTCAGCTCCATTCAGGAAATGGTAGGTCTCCCATGAGTATTAATAGAATATAGCAAAGCAAGTTATTATGAGACTAAGCACCTACCATGTATTAAGGGTGGTCAAGGTGACCCAGTATGAAGAGTAAGGTTCCAAAACTCAGTAAAAGAATCAGAAACTGCCACTGTTCCTACTGTTAGGAGACCCACAAGTAGATCAACCTACACAACTGTAACATATATGCAGAGTACCTAAGTCAGTCCATGCAAGTTTCTTGGTTGCTGGTCCAGTCTGTGAACCCCTATGATCCCAAAATAGTTAATTGTGTGAGTATTCCTGTGATGTTTGACCCCTCTGGCTCCTACAATCCTTTCTCCTCTGTTCAAGAATCCTGAAATCCACCTAAAGTTTGGCTGCAGAAGACTTGTTTTTTTTTTTCTTATAGGTTTTTATGGAGATACTGCTGGCTTTGCAGACTCCTTTTCCCTGCCCCACCCTTTGGAGCCTCCATGGGTCTTTCAGACTTCACAGAGCTCTGATTCAGGCATACAGTTGTCTTCATTTTTTTTCTCTGAACTACAATTTTTTTAAGATCTCAGGTATTTATTTTTCTTAATAGAAACTTTACATACATGTAGATGTAACAGTCTTATTAAAGAAGAAACACAGAGCCAAATGCAAAGTTAAAAGCCCAAGAGGTCAGAACAGTAGCTAAGAGTTGATACTAAAAAACCCTTCTTACCCTTCACTGCCTCTGTCTTCCTTCCCCTCAGAAACAGACCTACTTCCTGTGTATCTATCATTTTATGGACTTTCTGTTCTGTCTTCTCATTGGTTGTAAACCTAACCTCAATCCTCCAAGTCTTCTATGGTTGGTATTGAGATTAAAGGCATGTGTCTCCATGCATGCTGTATCCTTAAACACACAGAGATATGTGTTCATGTCATTGGGATTATGGGCGTGTGTTAAGAATGCCAAACTTCTGCTAAATGGCTTGTTATTAGCTCTGACACCCAGGCACTATTATTTATTAACATACAAATAAAATCACATTTCAGTACAAATGAAATATCACCATACATACATATTAGTCCAAACATCCATTTTTCCCTTCTCCAAAGTTTAACAATCACTTTCATTCTTCCTGGTTTTATGAGATCATTTTTTAGACCCTTGGTATACATGAAATCAAACAGCATTTTGGATGACTATTTTTTATAGGTATATATAATTTTCTGTATCCATTTACATCTTAGTAAGCATCTATCTTACTGTTTTGATTACATCTGCAATGAGCACAGGAGTACAGAAATCTCTTCAAAATCTTTATTGCAATTCACTTTCATAAACAACCAGCAAAGGGATTCATTGGTCATAATGCAGTTGTAGTTGTATTTTAGTATTTAAGTTACCAACACAATATTTTCCATCATGGCTACACCAATTTTCAATTCTACTAACAGTTTGCCAACCTTCTCTTTTCTCCAGAACCTCTAAAATAGTCGCTAATATATGCTTGTATAGTGGATGTCCAAATATGAGCAAGGAAATAATTCATTCTAGTTGTTTCTTTGATATTTCTGTGTATAAATTATTCATAATACTAAACATAATTTTACTTATCTGAATTTCCATTGTACCAGGGCTTGCTACATGATACAAAACATTTATGGTTATCTACAAACTGAATCTATCTCTAAGATAACTTTGATTTATGTGTCTCCCCCTTTTCAAGTAGGGTATAACAATATTTTCTTTCTGGCTCTAGGAATGGCTCCACCATTAAAGGATAGACTCATAACTAAAAACAACATATTCTTGCATGTATCTGAGACAATCTTAGTCGTAGTTAGTGTTCTATTTCTGTGTGCTTGATCATTGCCATTCTGACAGTTATAAGATCATATCTCAGAGTCATTTTGATTTAGATTTCCCTGATCATGAAGGATGTTGAGCAATTCCTTAAATGTCTTTCAGCAATTTGAGATTTTATTTTGAGAATTCTCTGATTAGTGTTGTACCCCATTTTTTAATTGGATTATTTAGTATATTGATGTCTAGCTTCTTGAGGAATTTATATAATTTGAGGAACAGACCTCTGTCAGATGTGGGGTTGGTGAAGTTTTTTCCCATTGTTTTGTTTTTCCTTTTCATTTTTTATAAAGAATTTTTCTACTCACTCAACATACCACCCACAGATCCCCCTTCTCCCTCCTCCCAGCCTCCAGATCTCCCTCCCTAGCCACCCCATCTCCCCACAGCCCCCAAATCAAGGTCTCTTATAGGGAGTCAGCATAATCCATCACACTGAGCCTAAGCAGATCCAAGCCCCTCCCCACTGCACCATGGCTGCACAAGACATCATACCACAGACACTGGGCCCCAAAAAGCCTGCCCATATGCCAGGGACAAATCCTGACCCCCTGACTGGATGCCCCCCACACATTCCGAGCCAAACAACCATATTCCATAACCAGAGGGCCTAGTCTAGTATCATGGGTTCTTCATAGCCACTAGTCTATAGGTCATGGGCTTCCACTAGTGTGGCTGGTCATCTCTGCACATCTTCCCATCATGATCTTGACGACCCCACCTGCAGAATCCCTCCTCTCTCTCGTCAATTGGAATCAGCTTTGTGACTGGCTGTGGATCTCTGCATCTGCCTCCATCAGTCGCTGGACAAAGGCTCTATGATGACGGTTAGGGTATTCACTAGACTGGTCACCAGAGCACACCAGTCCAGACACCCACTAGACCACTGCCAGCACTCCAAGGTGGGGTCATCCTTGTGGATTCCTGAGAGCCTCCCCAGCACCATGCCTCTTCTTATTCCCATGATATTCTCATCTATCATGATATCTCCCTCCTATCCCTCTCACTCTGTCCCTGTTCCAGCTGGACCCTGCCATTTCCCTATGTTCTCATGCCCCACTGCTCGCCCTCCACCACCACTCCCACTCACAGTTCACTCATGTAGATCATCTCCACTTCTCCTTCCATGGGCCATTTGTGTATCTCACCTTGAGTCTTTCCCTGCTAGCTGTCCTCTCTGGAGCTATGGGTTGCAGTCTGGCCATCCCTTCCTGTTGTGGATATCATTCTGTATAAATAAAACACTGGCCAGTGGCCAGGAAGGAAGGAAAGGCGGGACAAGGAGAGAGGAGAATTCTGGGAAGTAGAAGGCTGAGTGGGGGAGACACTTGCCAGCATGACAAGCAGCATGTAAAGATGCTGGTGATCCCCGAGCCACGTGGCAAGGTATACTTTTATAGAAATGGGTTAATTTAAGAGTAAGAGCTAGACAATGGTAGGCCTGAGCTAATGGCCAAGCAGTTTAAATAATATGAGTCTGTGTGTTTATTTTGTAAGTGGGCTCCAGTACTGTTGGGACTTGGCAGGATCTGGGTAGAAATTCTCCAGCTACACCTTCCCTCATATCTAGCTTCCAGTTATGAGTGAGTACATACTATGTTTGTCCTTCTGAGTCTGGGTTACCTCACTCAAGATTATATTTTCTAGTTCCATCCATTTGCCTGCATATTTCATGATGTCATTGGTTTTTATTGCTGAGTAGTACTCCATTGTATATATGTGCCACATTTTCTTTACCCATGCCTCAGTTGAGGGGCATCTAGGTTTTTTCCAGGTTCTTGCTATTATGAATAATGCTGATATGAACACAGATTAGCATGTGTCCTTGTGGTAAGATTGAGCATTTCTTGGGTATATGCCCAAGAGTGATATAGCTGGGTCTTGAGGAAGACTTACTGGCAATTTTCTGAGAAACCGCCATACTGATTTCCAGAGTGGCTGTACATGTTTGCATTCCTACCAACAGTTGGAGGAATGTTCCCATTGATCCACATCCTCTCCCATATTAGCTGTCATCAGTGTTTTTGATCCTAGCCATTCTGACAGGTGTAAGATGGTATCTCAGAGGGGTTTGGTGATCTTTTCCCATTCTGTAGGCTGTTGTTTTGTCTTATTGACCATGTCCTTTGCTCTACAAAAGCTTCTCTATTTCAAAGAATCACATTTATTAAATGTTGTTCCCATTGTCTGTGCTAATGGTGTAATATTTCAGAAGTGGTCTCCTGTGCTGATGCCTTCAAAGATACTACCTACTTTGTGTTCTATCAAGTTCAGTGTAATTGGATTTATGTTGAGGTCTTCCATTCACTTGGACTTGAGTTTTGTGCATGGTGACAGATATCAATCTATTTGCAATCTTCTGCATGTTGATATGCAGTTATGCCAGCACAATTTGTTGAAGATGCTACCTTTTCCCTATGGTACTGTTTAGGCTTCTTTGTTGAAAACCATATGTAAGGGAGACAGCGGCCTGGAACCCATCAGGTCTCTGTGCTTGTTTTCTCCCCCTCCTCCCCGGGGCCCCCACCCCCAGGAGATGAAGATGGGGCAAGAGATTATGTCTGTGGGTGTGGCTTAGAGACCTGTACATCGGAAAGGGCGTGCCCAGCAGATGCAGCCTAGGTGTTTGATTGGGTGGTGGTGAGGGAGCTGGGCCCACCCACCCCATTAAAAGCAACGGGGAAGGGAGGGGTCGGGCAGAGCAGCAGTGAGGCAAAGAGTGCCAGCTGACTAGCAGGCCAGCCCAGTGTCCTCTGCTCCTGAGAGCCAGTCGCGTCCCCAGTGAGAGGGCTTGTCCAGTCAACCCAGCTGCTCGCGGGGTGCCCCCTCGGGGGTCTTCATCAGTGGACATGGATGCAGCCTCCAGCGCAGAAGCCCTGCAGGAGCTTCAGCAGCACCTGTGCACAGAGACAGAGCCAAGCAAGCTCGACCAAACCCTCCAGAAACTCTCTTCCCTGCCCAAGCTCCGTGACACCCTGGCACAGATGAACTTCCAGCAGACCATGGAGCTCTTGAGGAAAGACCAGCTCTTGGTCCCCTTTGCCAAGGACTTGGCCGCCATTTGGTCGGAGAGGTCCCAGTTTGAGCCCCATCCTGAGCCTGACCGGGGGGACTTTGCCTTCGCGTTGAGCCTGATGACATTGTTGCCCAGAAACTGTCCAGAAGACAAGCCCCGAGAGTCCGCGCCAAGGGAACACAGACAAGATGGGACAGAGGTCTTCCACGTGAGCAGCAGCAGCAGCAGCAGCAGCAGCAGCAGCAGCAGCAGAAGCAGAAGCAGAAGCAGAAGCAACAGCAGCAAACAGTCAAATCCGGACCAGAGCCCGAGCCCGAGCCCGAGCCTGAGCCTGGGACTTGGAGCGAGCCTAAGCCCACACTCAAGCCTCCAGGAAAGGGTGACTAGCAGCCCAAAGCCAGAGCCAAGAAGAAGCAAGAGGCCAAGAGTGTCTTTAGGGGACCCAGAGCTAGCTGCACAGAACCAGGTGCCTGTGGCAAAGCCCCGAGCAAGTACAGAGGAGCCCTGGCGGCTCCCAGCAGCCAAGGCCATCTCCAGCGAGTCAGGTGCTAGGAGAAAGATTCCAGGCCACTGGATGGAGGAAGGGCCCCCAGCTGATCCTTTGGAGGCCTGCCTCAACTCTGACAGCTCTCCTCCTTCCTCTGCTCTGCAGCTGCAGCTGCAGCTGACTGGGTGCAAGAGGAGGGGGAAAAGCACCCTCAAAGCTGAGGCCCTTAGTCCTGGAGCCAAAGTGCCCTGGGGCAAGTCTCCAAGGTGCCAAGAGCCTAATGACAATGGCATCCTCCCTGGGAGTCCCCTTGCACAAGAGCCTTCCAGTCCCCAAGCTGGCTTCCCGCTGGGTGGCCAGGAGCACTCTTCCTGGCACACTGACTCAGACTCCCTGCCTTGGGCACACAGGACCCACTTCAAAACGCCTGTGTATTCAGGTCCTGCGCCTGCCTGGCTCCCGCAGAACTCGCAGCAAGGGCGCCTTGCTGAGCCCCTTGACTGCCCCTGGAACACTCGTTGCCAAGACGCAGCTGAAGAAACTGAGCCCTGGCAGCAAGAGGAGGAGTCCCGTCGCCGCCGTCGCGGTCACCAGACACACACTGGCAGGCCAACTCACACCCAGACTGAGAGGGCCACAATCCTCCAGCTGCAGGAGCCCCCTGAGCTGAGGCTGCAGGCCCTGGTAGCCCGCCTCAAAGGCGCGCCAAGAAGCCTGGAGGCCGCCAAACCAAGATGGTGGCCTTCCAGGCTCAAGCCCCAAGCTCAGGCCGGCAGGCAGAGTCTGGAGCCAGAGGGGCGGCCTCCTCCTAAATGAGCAGGCACCAGGAGGCCTCTGCCCAAGGCCAGCCATGGAGGACTCCCTGCCTTTTGCCGCCGCCGCCACCGCGGCCTGCCAGCAACAAGCCCCAGCCTAAGAAGAGACCTGCCCCGCTCATGGCCAAGGCCCTCAGGGATTACAAGAAGAAGCTCTCTAGGAGGTGACCCGAGGATGCTCTCTGCCCTGGAATTGCTGGCAATCACTCAGGACCAGACCTGCTCTCCAGATCCTTTGGCCTGAAAGTTCGCCCATGCTCAGGCCAGCCCGCCAGCCTGTCAGCCCGCCAGCCTGCCCACCCGCTGCCGCCTTTGGAGAGCCCAGGGTTTCCAGAGACTGCTATTGGGATCTCTGTTCCTGCTCAAGATCCTGGGGGCCCTCTCCTGAGACCCTGGGCAGGCTTCCCTGCCTGCTCCCGAGACCGACCGACCACCTGCGCTTTCCAAACACCTGAGAGCGCCCGGACCTCCACCCGCAAAAAGACCTGGGTTCCCAGAGCAAACACTACACTTTGGACTTTCCCTCCACCCAACCCCTTCCCAAGGACTCAAGTGCCCAACACCTTGGCCTCAAAGGAAATAAATAAATAAATAAATAAATAAATAATAGATAGTCCTGCTCCCAGTGCATGAGTTGGCTGTTTGAAACTTGGGGCTTATGCAGGGACTCTTGTCTCAGCCTGAGAGGAGGGGACTGGACCTGCCTAGACTGAGTCTACCAGGTTGATCTCAATCCTAGGGGGAGTCTTTGCCCTGGAGGAGATGAGAACGGGGGTGGGGGGTGGGGGTGGGCTGGTGGGAAGGGGACGGGGGCGCCAGGGGGAGAACAAGGGAATCCGTGCCGGATATGTAGAATTCAATTATATTTTAAAATAAAATTAAATTAAAGAAGGAAATAGGTTTAAAGATTAAACTGAATATAAACAATGTATTTATATACCAAATAATTTTATAGATTTATAATATCTGCTCTTTTAATGTTTCTGTGTGTTAGAAAAAAAGAAATTTAATTTAAATCTATTTTAATTTCATTTACTTTTAAGTTTACATTGAATAAAACTTAAATAGTTAAACCCCCCAAAAATAGAGAGATAGATACATAGCTAAATAAACAAACAAATAAGTAAGAAAGAAAGTAGAGCACCAAGAACCCAGACCTTTGTCCTCCTCTTCCATTGGAACTCCGTGGTTGCAGACAGACACACTCAACTTGTTGATTCACACGTGCAGTACATTTGCAAACAGCCTTGGATTGAGGCTGATTCCAGAACCTCCTCATCCCCAGTCGGGACTGCACATTCCCTTCCATCAACTAGCTAATCCGTTAAAAAGAGAATTGTACACATATCCCTACAGATCAATAGATAGACAAATGGATACATAGACTTCTAGACTCAAAGATACATAAAGGGCTGATCCATAAATATGTCAGGAACGTTCGGCATGCAGTCCACAAGCAAGAAAAGGTGAAATTTAAAGAAGAGAAGCTAAAAGTGAGTCAAAAGGAAAGGAAATGAAAATGAACATCAAGATCCTAAAAAGAAAGTATGTCGCTGAAAATGTGTGTCAGTTTGGCTGTGTGGGTGTGTCAAAAAAAGTGGATAAAAGTGGGTTGTGGTGACACACCCATTTAATCTCAGCGCTCAGGGAGGCAGAAACCGGTGTATTCCTGTAAGTTCCAGACTAGCCTGGTCTACAAAGCAAGTTCCAGGACAGCCTAGGCCATTACATGGAGAAAACTCATTTCCAAACAAAGAAAAATAAAGAAAGGAAGGAAAGGTGGGAGGAAGGGAGGAAGAAAGAAAGGATAAAGAATGAAGGACAAATTTAATCATAACTTGTATTACCAATATAACAATAGCTTTTATAAGTAAAATGATTTTCATAGATAAACAACTGAAGCTTTTATGCCTTTTAACCTTTATAAACTTTACATCTCATAAGTAAGGTTTTTTCCTGGTAACAAGGAAGAACTATCACTACACTATATAATCTTCATCCCCATCAAATTCCAGAGAAAGATATATCACCTGAGTAAACAGAAAATGCAGAGCAAGCAATTTCCAAAACTATAGAAATGACAGAAACTGCTGGCTGCCTCCACAGTTAACCAACATTCCTCTCTAATATTGTGGCATCCATCTTTGGACTATAGGTCTATAATATTTGGCAGATTTTTTTCTGTGAAACAGGAATTCTGGTGGACTGTCCTACCTTCTTTAGGAAAGTTCAGCATTTATCTTCTTTTTGTATCCTGCTTGTCCACTTTGGACAACATACAGTGAGCAGTTGAGACAAGGGCATTTTCTTGCCCAAATTGCTAGCTTTGGCTAATTGAAAGTACACATCTTATTGAGTTTCTTTGATGCCCATCATCCTCCTTTGAAGTAGATTGGTACTAGGAGGAGCAAATATAACTCACTGTCATGAAAGACTTATGCTAGTATAACACCTTAAATGAAATATTCTGTAGGTCTCTGAAGTGTTTGAAGACCATCTGTCTATCTGAAAAGTATCCCTGAACTCATGTTTGTAAAGGAAACGCTACTAAAGCTTAAATTACACATCAGCTCTCATGCATTCATAGTGGGAGATTTTGACATTACACTCTAAACCATGGAGAGGACATCTAGACAAAAACTAAACAGAGAAATACTGGAGTCAACAGACATTATGAACCAAAAGGACCTAACATATATCTATAACATATATTTACCCATACACAAAAGAATACACCTTCTTTTCTATACCTCTCTGAACATTCTCCCAAACTGATCACAGTGTCAGACTCAAAGCATGCCTCAACACATACAAAAAAAGCTGAAATGACCCCCTTCACAAAACAGCAACAGAAATATTGGAAGGTGTTCAATTTATGGAAACTGAACAATTCTCTACAGAAAGACTGCTGATCAAGGCAAAAATAAAGATAGAAATTCCAGACCTTTAAAAATTCTTGAAATTATATTCAAAACATACCCAGACTTGGACATGAAAGTGGTGCTAAGAAGAAAATTCTTTTTTCTGTCTTTCCTTTTCTTTTTGACACTGAAGGCTTTTGTGACAACCCCAACCCCCCCCCTCACACCTCTAACCCTCCTCACTGTTCCTCTTTCTGCCTGGAAGTCCCACCTATCCAGTACTGCGTAGCTATTGAGCTTTTTATTAAGCCAGTTGGAAGGTGCCATAGGCACAGTCATATTTTTTACAGTGTATAAAAGGATTATTTTATAAATTTTTCATCTGTTCCTGGTCTATGGACAGGCTTCTAGAAATCCTGCGCCTGTGGTGTGATGCCTTGCACAGCCTTGGTGCAGTGGGAAGGGGTTTCGACCTGTCTAGGCTCTGGGCTCTGCTGACTCCCCATGGGAGACCTTGATTTGGGGTATGTGGGGATGCGGGGTGGCTTGGGTAAGAGGGTTGGGGGAGGGAGAAGAGAGGAGGGAGGACGAAGGAGGGAGGATCTGTGGATGATATGTGGAGTGAGTACAAAATTTCATAAGAAAGAAAAATGAGAAAAAAAAACACCAAAGACAAGCAAAAAAAAATTCCCTTTGTTGTCTAAATAAAAAGGAAAGGTTTTAACTCTAACACAGTAAAACTATATATAAGAAAAACATTTATTAAGTAAGAATTACATTCATAATGAGCAGTCTGTTTCTATTTGGCATAAATGAAGAAAAAAGTCTATTATCTATCCTATCTTGAAGAATATAAAGTTTTATACTTAAATTATTTTTATCATACCTTGTATTACCAACCTAAAAATATCTTTTACACCTTAAACGATTCTTTAAACAACTCAAGCTTTTTTGTCTTTCAAACTTTTATAAACTTTACATCTCCTTTGTAGTTTCTTTCCTGGATTTGGTATCAGGGAACAGTGTAGCACAACTGTATAGTCTTCAACCACATCAACGTCCTGAGAGGATAAAATATTACCTGAGTATACAAGAAAAGCAGAGTAAGCAATTTCCAAAACTATAGAAATGACAGAAACATCTGGCTTCCTGGACAGTTAACCACGTTTCCTTTCCAACTTGGGGCATCTATCTTTGGACTAAAGGCCTAGAATATCTGGCAGATTTTTCTGTAAAGCAGGAATTTGTTGGACTGTCCAATCTTGTTTTGGCAAAATTCAGCAGTTATCCTCTTTTTGTATTCTGCTTATGCAATTTGGACAGCATACTGTAAGCAGTTGAGGAAAAAGCACTTTCTTGCCAAAATGGCTAGCTTTGGCACATTGAATGCAAACTTTATATGGAGGTTCTTTGATGCCCATCAGCCTCTTATGAAGTAGATTGGTGCTGTCAGAAGCAAACATATCTCACTGTCATGAAAAGCCTAATGCTATTAAAATATCTTAAATTCTACACTCTGTAGGTCTCTGAAGTGTTTGAAGACCATCTGTCTATCTAAAATGTATCTCTGCACTCATGTTTGTAAAGGAAACACTACTAAATCTTAAGTCACACATCAACTCTCATGCATTCATAGTGGGAATTTCAATATCACACTCTCAACTATGGAGAGGTTATCCAGACAAAAACTAAACAGAAATACAGGAGCCAACAGACATTAATTAGATGTAGAATAATAAATACTCAATAAAATGCTGAAACACAGAATCTAAGAATACATCAAAAAGATTATTCATCATTATCAATTAGACTTCATGCCAGAGATGCAAGGATGTTTCAACATATAAAAATCTGTCAATGTAATCTACCATATAAACAAGCAGAAAGAAAAAAAAGAAACATTTTATCATCTCATTGGTCAAAATCCTTTGAGAAAATCAAACAGTCCTTCATGTTAAAGTCTTGGAGAGAACTGGAATACAAGGGATATACCTAAATATAATAAAAGAAATTTATAGAAGGCAAATTGGCAACATCAAATTAAGTGGAGAGAAACTTAAAGCAATTCAACTAAAATCAGGAATAAGACAAAGAATGGCTGTCCACTTTCTCCATATCTATTCAATATAATAATGGATGT